CAGAGTGCTCCTTGGAGACCAGGATGGCTAGACTTCATCTCTCATACTTCGGACATATTGTCAGGAGGGAGCAGTCACTGTAGAAGGATATCATGTTTGGTAAGGTGGAGGGTCAGAGAAAAAAAGGAAGACCCCTAGCAATTTGGATTGGCATCAACGGGCTCAAGTGTGGCAACAATTGTGAAGTTGGCCCAGGACCGGGCAGTGTTCCACTCTGTTGTGCATAGGGTTGCTATGAGCCTGTACCGACTCGATGGCCCTTAACAACAACAAACATTCAGAAGTAGCCTGCCCCTCCTTCCTCCTAGTCTGTCTTAGTCTGGAAGCTCAGCTGAAACCTGTTCACCATGGGCGATCCTGTTGGCATTCAAAATACCTGTGGCATAGCTTCCAGTATCCCAGCAACCCACAGGCCACCACAGTGCGACATACTGACAGATGAGTGATGGATCCTGCCTCCCTAGTTTCCTTTAATCTGGAAGTTTCTGGGCCTTTGTTTTTCATGACCCTGGCATTTTTTAAGTGGACAGCCTAGTTATTTTAGAGAATTGTTTAAAAGTTTCACCAAGTACTTTGCACAGAGCACAATGACCCTGCTCTAAGGTTGCTTACATTTTAGTTGGGAATAGGACAGTCAAGGAAAGACAGACAGTGATTTTAGAATCGGGTATGCAGATATAAAACAGGGTCATGGCGAGAGAGGCCCAGGGTGGTGAAGAAGGCCACTCTGAGGAGGGAATTCTTGAGCTGAGGTCCTGGATGACAGAAAGAGCTAGGTGCAGGGATTTGAGGAATAATCAGAGACAGAGAACTTCAGGCTGGGACAGTGCCCTGTGCAAAGGTCCTGGGTTCAATCATGCCAGGCATTTAGGAAACAGGAGCCAGGTGCCGCTGAAGCAGTGATTGAGGGGAGTCTGAGCGTAAAAGGAGGCCATGGGGAAGTAGCAAACCTGAAGGTGTCAGGAGCAGAGGAGGGACAATCTGACTTTGGTTTTGACAGCATCCCTCTGGCTAAGGGAAGCTAGGGCAGAGGTGGGGAGGCCCCCAGATGATGGTGGTCATGACAGGACCAGGTGGTGACCATTGGAGTTGTGAGACACGGACATATTCTGGATGCATCAGGGAGGCAGAGCTGAGGGGTTTGGTATGGACTAGATACTAGGGTGAGAAGGAGGAGTCAAGAATGCCGCAAAACAACTGGCCCGGTCCTGCCTTCACCCAGCCTCCGAGTCCCCTCCTTTTCGGCCTCACATCGGCAGTGACAGTTGTACAGAATGACTTTCAGAGTAATCCCTCGCCCATCGACTCGTGCCTTATTTGTAGTTGTCTCTTCGATCCATTAAGTGTCCCTGCAGGCGGAGGTTGATGAGGGACAGGGTCTGTGTTTCATCAGCATGCTGGATCCACAGCTGAGAACAGACTTGTGTGGGGGGAGAGTGGAAGCAGGAGACCGGACACGAGAGAATGGCGGCTGGAAAGGGGGGTGAGGTAGTTGGGTTCTAGACATATTTCAAGGTAGAGCCAACAGGATTTGCGGGGGGCTGAGACATTGGGAGAGGGTCTCATCAAGGAGGACTCCCAGTCAGGGGAATGATGAAGCTGCCATTGGCAGAGATACGGAAGACTGTGAAGGAACAGATTTGGGGGAAGTTGGGAGTTCAGAGCTGAGGACGGGACCTAAAACAGATTTTGGCCATGTCCGGAGGATGAGAGTAGGCATGGGTCACCTCTAGATGCTTGGCCAGCATGGGAACTCAGGCCTTCTGATCCCCTTGGCCAGACCTGTGTTCTTGATGGAGACCAGGCAATTCACTTTCCAAGGCTGGCCTTTTCATAGTGTAACAGGGGTTCCTTCTCATTTCAGGGAAATGCGGGTCCTGCCACCTTCTGGCTCCTTCTCTTTCTCCTCAAGCATCCCAAGGCCATGTCTGCTGTCCGTGAAGAGCTGGAGCGCACCCTCTGGAAGGCAGAGCCGCCTGTCTCAGAGATGGCTATTCTCCCACAGAAGGTTTTAGACAGCATGCCTATGCTTGGTGAGATGACCGGAGACTGTGTCCTCATGGCCCCAGCCCCATAGCCTACCCAACACAACTCCCATCCTCCAAGGTCCAACCATATCCTGTGACCTGGGCCTCCTATCTTCTTAGACATGATTTCTCCATGACTCATGATTTCAGGGAGACATTTTGATTCTAAGTGACAGAAAACCTAACTACAAGCGGCTTAAGCAGACAAGTGACTTTATTTGGGGCATGTAACAAAACCCCCAGCGGTATGTGACTTCAGGCACAGACGAGTCCCCCAGGACTCACTCTGTCTCTGTCTCTCAGCCTCGTTTTCCACTGTGTTGGCTCCAGTGGTTACGCTGCCAAGATGGCTGCCGGTGGCTTCAAGCTCTCAGCTCTGTGAGGGTGTGTGTCTTTCTTGCAGCTCTTGCAACTCTTCTACTCAAAGTCCCAGCAGTGTGTCTCCCTGACTCTGTTTAACTCTGATGCTCATCTTGAACCAGTCATGGGGCCCAGAGTATTGGGGTGCTCTGATTAGCCAATCCCAGCTCAATCACAGGAGTTGAGAATGGAATTAACAGAGATCAAACCCTAGAGAATTAGACAGGGTGGTCCTTCCAGGAAAATGCTGTTGCTTCCTGAGGAATGGGGGCTATATGGTGGACAAGGAGAAACAATCAATACTGGTGGCCTTCATTCTTCTCCTAAGCCCTCTTAGATATTTCCCTGGCTCTTACCTTCCCTCACAACTTCTCTTGGGATCAGAACTAAAATCTCCTCTCATGTCCAAGGTCTCTGATGGGCCATAGTATCCACAGTCTCATGTCCATGTCAGAGACATTGGACATGAAAGGATATCTAGTTCTGATCCCAAGATCTGATCTCATATCATTTGGCTTTTTTCAATTTTGCTGCGTGGTCATGGGCAAGTCACATACCCTCTCAGAGTCTCCTTACCTCCCCTATGTAAAATGAGACCTGGGGGTGGCATTTCAGTGGGTAATAGAACAGCCTGCTGACCCTTCCTTGCCCTCTTACCCACGCAGACAGTGTGCTGAGTGAAAGCCTCCGGCTCACGGCTGCACCCTTCATCACACGGGAGGTTGTGGTGGATATGGCCATGCCCATGGCAGATGGGCGGGAATTCTCCCTTCGACGTGGTGACCGTCTCCTCCTCTTCCCCTTCCTGAGTCCCCAAAAGGACCCAGAAATCTACACAGACCCAGAGGTAAGTGTCAGGGCACTGTCTCTGCCCTTTGTTTCCATGTGTGACAGGTTGCTTCACGTCTCTGAGTCTCTGTTTCCTGACCTGTGAAGTGACCATTGTGGTAGCCTCTGCCTCACAGAGTTGTCATGAACATTCAGTGAGATTATATAATAAAAAGCCTTCCCAGTGCGTGACACACTGAACACTCTGTAAGAGATAGCTGTGAATGTTCTTACTGAGCAATCTTCTTGTTTTCAGAATGATATCACCTGACTTTCTTACCACTACCTCTCCCTGGACTTCAAGATGGGACAACCTTTCCCAACTGTTAATGTATTTGGATGCTTACTATGTGCTAGGCGCTGTGCTATACCCTCACCCATGCACTCATCTACTCACCCACTCATCTATCTACCCATCTATTCATCTACCCACCCACCCACCTCTGCATCCATCTACTCATCCACTCACCATCTACCCGCCCACTTATCTATCCATCAGTCTACCCACCTACCCATCCATCCATCCATTCACTCACCCATCTACTCATCTACCCACCCACCATCCACCCACCCACTTATACATCCATCCATCCACCCACCCACCCACTCTTCCGTGCATTTTTCTATCCACTGGCTCATTTGTCTATCCTTCTTTCCATCTTCTTTTTTAGCACCTACTTCATACCAAACCCTGTCAGTATAACCAAAGGAAATTGGCATTCTCTTTTTGAAAAAAAAATTTTTTTTTAAATTACAAAAATAATTTAAATATCAAAAGTAACATGTATTTGTCATAAAGGAGAAATGTATAGTTTTTGTATAATATACACAAATATATTAATGTATGGCTGCAACAAGGAGGATGTTGCAAGACTGGGCAGTGTTTCATTCTATTATACATATGGGGTTTCTCTGAGTTTGGAGATACTAGATAGCAGCAATCAACAATAAAAACTTTTAGAAAGTAAAAAAGATAAATTCTCTCCCTTTCTAGTTCCAATATTTTTACAGAGGTTTGGGATACCTCTTTTAAATGCCTTTACAAATGTCTAAAGGAGCTCTGGTAACGTAGTGGTTACGAATCGGGCTGCGAACCGGAAGGTCAGCAGTTCGAAACTACCAGCTGCTCCGCGGGAGAAAGATGAGGCGATCTGCTCCTGTAAAGATTTACAGCCTCGGAAACCCTATTCAGGGTCGCTATGGGTCGAAACGGACTCAACGGCACTTAACAACAACAATATAATTCACAGACACATAAACAGATAGGTGTGTGTATAGGAGCTTGCTTTTTTTTTTTTCCCCCCACTCAACAACCAGTCTAAGACTAATCTCATCCTTTGAAATAACTGCTATCATTTTTAAACCAAGCCTCTATCAACTAGCATTTACATAATTTCTAGTTGTTCCCTCTTCTAAACAAGACTGTAATGGATATCCTCATAAATTTTTCTGTGGGTGTATATTTTATATGTGTTGGGAGCAAGTGTCAGAAAGAGACCTTCTTCCTGTTTCAGGAGTTTAAATACGACCGATTCCTCAACCCTGACGGAACTGAGAAGAAAGACTTTTATAAAGATGGGAAGCGGCTGAAGAATTACAACATGCCGTGGGGTGCGGGGCACAACCTGTGTCTTGGGAAGAGCTATGCCATCAATAGCATCAAACAGTGAGCAGAAGGGACACAGGGGGGCTGGGGAGGGAGGCGCCTGTCCATCTGATTGTCACATACCTACCTCTTCTAAGAATAAAGGGCTCTGGTAGGGCTTAGAGGAGAGGCTACCGTGGACGGCCTCTGAGCCTTGGACAAGGACATAGCCATAGAGGGCTAGAGCTGA